TAATAACGTCTATACCCACCTAAACCCAATCATCATCATTATTAACGTTTACACCTTCCCTAAACCCAACCATCAGTTATTAACGTACAGCTGCGAGTTGCGGAGACTGTCATATTTGATGTGCTCGCCATTGTACTGTTTTTGCAACCACAGAAGGCGATGCCGAGTACTGTCATGACAAAACGGATGAAGTCGGCGAGTAAGTTGCATGGTGGAGTTGCTAAATGAATGTAATAATATATCAAATGAATAGGTTGTGGATCAATTCGGAGAAAGCTCATGAAAATGCTCTCTGTTAAGTATTTTTGTCATCTTGTTACATCTCGCAATGGGATCTCGATGACTGTAAGTTACACCTCTCTAACTTACTACAAGTTACGCCCCTCCATGTTACACCTTGTCTTGCAGACAGATACACTTGTCTAGAACTGCATCTGAGGTGTCCAGTTTCATGACTTGCTAATACTGGCATCTGCTTGCGACTTATATTAGAAACATTCCCCCAACCGGCAATATCATAGCCAGAGGCCCATGCAGCAGTGCATGTTCAGCTCCTCTGCTTGTATCCCCAGCATCACGGACAGGCAAATTCTTTACTTGTGTTGAGTTTTTTGTATACATTGCGCATGTTCGATGCAAAGCATCAGTCCCAAGTTCATCCGTTTTGCTGTTTATCGGTAGCCGCATTTCGAGCCACCTGTTCAACAAGTGACGGAACCGTGGATGCAAAGGCCATCCACACAAACAAATCCGTTCGATTCAATTCCACGAAATCGATTTTGTGAAAGGGTTTACTTACTGTCTGTGCTGCAAGTCCCATTCAATCATTTTCCTTCGGCTTTGTCCCTTATTCCATTTGATTTATGTAGCGGATGCCCTTCCAGCTGCAACCCATCACTGGGAAACACCAAGTCACACATGCACACACATACACTGATTTTGGCCAATTTAATCTAATCAATTCACCTATAGCGTGTATCTTTGGACTGTGGGGGAAACCCACGCCAACAAGGGGAGAACATGCAAACTCCACACAGATTACTGTGTACCTTAATATAAAATGTGTTCGTAATTGTTTTTTCCTCCTATTCTATAGGCAAACAAAGGTAAAAAGAAAAAGAAGGGAGTTTTACCAGGGGGAGGTTTAAAAGCCAAGATGAAAGACGATCTGGCAGATTACGGCGGGTTTGAAGGCGGTTATGCACAAGACTATGAGGACTTCATGTGACCAAGGCTTAACCCAACTCTAACTTTTTTTGCTGATTGCTGAACCACACACACCTTAACAGCATGACCTTCTCCCACTGTCAGGCCCACAACCAGAACATGCTAAATAACTCTGAACGTCATCCACGCAATGCACACTTTCCCATCAGAGAGTACCAATAAACTGCGCTCTTTTCCCTCTGGCCTGTCGTGACTTTAGGTTGGAATAATAAACCCGATAAAACAAATGTGAACCTGCAGTATCAGTTAATCCCCACAGCCCTGGCTTAAACAAACAAACAAACAAACAAACAGTGTTATTGTTCGGTATTTCTAGGAAATAAATGACGCTATGCAAAATTCAGTCCGGATTGATCTCAATGTCATTACGCGACATTAACCCTTTATTTGTCTACGGGATGTTCCTTTTTGCAAACCAGGGCGATTAACTCAACCCGAAATGTTGATATCGAAGTCACGTGGTTTCTAAATCATGTGTACAATCACGTTTATTTTGATCGTAGGCTATAGTGAGCTCATTTAGATAAGTCAATCTAGAGTGTAGCGTAATTAACGTGAGCATAACGCATTGACAATAACGCCTTTACGTTTGTAGCTCGTAATGCATTCCATGTGTCTCAGACCAAAAGCATTACTCTGATTTGTTTTCGTCGCAGCGGTATTTGGATTACCTCAATTTTTGCAGAGTGAATTACGCAAATATTTACAGATATAACATTATGCCGTGGTTCATTTGAGCTCAGCCATGCTAGCGTGATTTCACACACACGCTATGCTGATGTATAAGGGACTGAACGTCGATGTAGGGTCTTTTCAGCCGGCGTTTGGCTTTCCATTTTATTGACAATTCGCAGCGTGGTAGAGATGCTTCATAGAGGCTTACGATCAGCAAAGCCGATGATAGGACTCTGCACTGTTTTATAAAGATCTAATTTAATAAAAGTTGCTTAAAATCCAGCAGTGGTTGTGTGTTCTTTGCTTTTTTTGGTAGTGTATTTTTAGAGCTTGTAGATTCTTTCTGAGGGCTAGAGACAGGGTTTATACGGTCATGGAAAACCTGGAAAAGTCATGGAGCTTTGACATGGCAATTTCCAGGCCTGGAGAAGTTTTGGAAAAGTCATGGAAATTAGTTGAACAAATATCTGTAAACTTGAATTAGGGCTACGCGATATTGGAAAAATCTGACATTACGGTATTTTGAATTTCTGTGATTTATATATTATGATGTGAATACAATTTCATCAGATGATTTAAAAGGAATCTCGAATAATATATAACAAATAAATTACAAACATAGATCAATAACGTATAGTAGAGATAAAAGTGAATGATAGTTTTCAGGTATTAAATAATCAACTATGCATAGTCTTTATTGTATATTAGTTAATCTTTATTAAAGTTACAAAACATTTCGGTAACACTTTATAATAACTACGCACTATAAATCATTTATTAAGCATCAGCAAATAGTGAATTCATTATCTGTTAAGCATTAATAAACGTTAGTAAGCAGTTTATAACTGCAGCTACAAATGCTCTATTCTTGACTTATAACCACATTTAAAATGTGCTTAATAATTGTACTTTTGTACTTAGTAAATGATTTAGCCTCCTCTTTAGAGCATTCCACTCTCATGCAGGAATTGCTGGTTCGATCCCTGCTTGGAACTGGACCAGTGGGTATATGATGAATGTAAATACCTTGGATTTTACTACAGTCATCGGTGGTTGTAATGTAGCTTACCTTAAGTGTAAAAACAGCAGTAAATGAGTAATTTGTTTATATTACTGTTGTTGTATTACTACATGAATGAGTTGGGGTCCGTTCTTCTTACCTCGCTTAAATGATCTAAGATGATTTGGCAGATCCTGGATCTTTTCATCTCGATAACTGACCTCTGGCTAATTTGGTTCTTCAAACTCGCGAATCAGATTAGAATGTCTGGATGAACTGATCTGAGATCACTGGATGTGTTGTGAAGGAAAGAACTATCGATCATCGAAATCATGATCAGCAATGCAGCGATTGGCTGACGGCAGCGTGATGACATCAACTGATTAATGTTCAATTATCCATGTGAGCAAAATTACATCAAATTAGAGGTAAAACGTTTGTTAACTATGACACGCAATAACCTTCCACATTTGTTGTGAGCTGCAGGCTTTACATTTTCATGTGTCAAGGGTATTCATCATGTATTTCAATGTATTTAGTTCTACATTTAGAAAAGATTTTCTTTATTATAGTCGCCGTTTTTTAATCGGTGTAAATAATAACTTGATGTTTACAAAAGCATTTTGATATTGGTAAAGGCGTCTGCAACTTTCGTGAAGCATCAAATCACCGGCATATTAACTATCAAAACATGTTTATGACTGCATAAATGTATTATTGCGTTTAAAAAAAGTCACATATTATGCATTTCTATTATACACAATTTGTTCTAAAGCGATCTAGAAAGTTCATACCAGTAAGTTTTCTCTTTGCACCACCAGGTGGCAGACTTTGTACTTTCATTTCGAGGGTGAAGATTGCATAAGTTTTATTAATATGTATAACTTAATATGTAATTAATATGTACTAATATACTTAATATGTATTCATATGTATTTATTTTGTTAATAACTATAACTTTATAGTTAAAAATAGTTACTATTTTTCACGTGTATATAACTACTACTGTAAGAAAATATCAGCATTCGGTACATACTTTCAGTATTTTCTTTGCATGCACTGAGCCGATCTAATCCTGTTTATATGAATTGAACCTGCTGCCGAGCAGGTCTGATCTACCAGAACTGTTGCTATGACAACAACTCTCGGATCAGCCTTGAAGAACGAAACGATCCTGGATCGTGTCAAATCGTCAATATCCAAATCCAGCTAACTGAGTAAACCCTTGGTCAGTAGTGAACATTTGAAATTATTGCAACACAATGCTTTCCCACACTTTAACCAGAAGAGGTCCTCATCGAGCTCTGATTTAGAAAGCTTCAAGTAACGAATATTTTTCCGATACAATTGAGTCGAGCGCTTTAATGGTTCAGAAAGCTTCATGTCACCATCACTACCTTACCGTCCTAATTAAATCATTAAAAATCAAGGCATGATCTTATTTTATTTTGGTCAAATAAGCTAAATATAGAGGCATTTGCCTTTTAAGCTACGTCTGATACCAAATGAGCAACTAGAAGTCAAGTGATTATGTGTTGCTCCTAAAACTTGGATAGGCGACAAGACTTTTGTCAGGTAGTGTACTTTTTAACTAGTTTCATCATCTAATATTTTACAATCTGAAGTAGACGTTCATTAAGGATAAAGCGGTCAGGGGCGTGACCTTTGAGACTGTTTGAAGAACCGTTCAACAGAAAACCGAATGCCAGACGGAAACTGGTGTTTTATGGCGCAGCAGCTTATGAAAACACGCGCACACAGGTCTTCTCAGATAACCTGCCAATGTCCCAATCGTGTCCTTGTTGCTCGTGGCCGATTATCTTGATCGCGCCGTCAATTGCACCTGCTGCTATTGGTCATGTGACCTGCGCACAAAGGGTCCAGTCTTTTCCCCTTAGTCCAACTCACTGGTTTTCCAACAAAAAGGAAAACAACAGAGCGATTGTAAAGATAAGACTTGGGGATAATTAACAGCAAATCCAGACTCAACAAACGTAATCCATTGGTCGTGAAGGAGGGAGGAGGTTTGCTTTTTCTTGAGCGTTCTTGGTTTTGTGGGCCGTTATATAAAAGGGGTGTACGGTTGAGGTCAATCCGTCTTGGGTAACATGCGTCCATGCATCTTGCTCATCTTGTGGATGATAACGGCGGTGGAAATGGAGGAGCAGAAGATCCTCCAATCCTTGCACTGTCCGCCCTGTGAACGCATCCACTGTTCCCCACGTCGGGCGCTGAAGCTCCAGTGTCGGGGTGGCATCACCACTGGGATTTGTGGTTGCTGTCCGGTCTGTGCTAAACTGGCAGGGGAAAACTGTGGAGGGACTTGGGATTATCTGGGGAAGTGTGATGAAGGGCTGGTCTGCATTCATGAAGAAGCAGCAGATGGAAAAGCAGAGGCCGAACTCAAGGGAACCTGCAAATCAGGTACCAGTGAAGCTGGAGATGAAAAGATCTTCACTCCGCATGTTGCATATAATACTAGAAGTCTAAAGGGATGCATGTGCTCAGGGAAAATGCTGGACCTGAAAAAAATCATGATTAAAAAAAAAATGAAGTTCTAAGTGTGTTACGTTTAAAATAGTGAATGACGGGATGGAAATGTATTGCTTAATATGTTCGATATAGGCTTTTAAACTGGAGTCCAGGGACCCACTGGAGAAGCAACAAGTGGCTGCTTGGGAGTTTGCAGAAGTCTAAAAAAACATCAATAATTAATTAATAAATAATATTGTTGACAATATAACTTATTAAATGTTTCATACTTTATTATATTGCTTAATTTGTCAGATAATAAAAACATACAATCTATCTATTTCTCATCTGACTCAACAAAACATTTCAGCTATTTAAAGATATTGTATTTTTCAAAAGTATGAATATATCTTCCAGATTATTAGATAGTAGATCTGATCTAAAGATTTCATCTTTAAATTATATATATATATATATATATATATATATATATATATATATATATATATATATATATATATATATATATATATATATATTATATATTTATATATAGTTGAAGTCAGATTTATTAGCCCCCCTGAATTATTAGCGCCCCTGATAATTTTTTTCCCCAATTTCTGAGAGAAGATTTCTTCAACACATTTCTGAACATAATAGTTTTAATGACTCATTTCTAATAACTGATTTATTTTATCTTTGCCATGATGACAGTAAATAATATTTGACTAGATATTTTTCAAGACACTTCTATACAGCTTAAAGTGACATTTAAAGGCTTAACTAGGTTAATTAGGTTACCTAGGCAGGTTAGGGTAATTATGCAACTTATTGTATGACGATGGTTTTTTCTGTAGACTATTGAAATTTTTTTTTATTTTTTTTTCTACAAATATTTCATCTCTTACCTTTGCCTCCGTTATTTTTTATTATTATCCTTACATAAATTCAGAGATTATAACATCAGTAACTGTATGAGCAGCAATTTAAAAAAGTATCATGCCATTGACCTTTATAGCAGAAATTAACCGAATGCACAGCATTTATATAAGCTATTTTAAAATGTGGCTTACAGTTCCCTCTTCTGCTAAAAAAGAAATGGACTGATGTATCCCTCTGCCCTCTTTTTTAATTATAAAAATATATATATATATATATATATATATATATATATATATATATATATATATATATATATATATATATATATACAGTTGAAGTCAGAATTATTTGCCCCCTTTGTTTTTTTGCTTTTTTTATATTTTCCAAATGATGTTTAACAGAGCAAGGAAATTTTCACAGTATGTCTGATAATATTTTTTCTTCTGGAGAAAGTCTTATTTGTTTTATTTCAGATAGAATAAAAGCAGTTTTAAATTTTTTAAACAGCATTTTAAGGTCATTATTATTAGCCCCTCCATATATTTTATCAACACATTTCTGAACATAATAGTTTTAATAACTCATCTGTAATAACTGATTTATTTTATCTTTGCCATGATGACAGTAAATAATATTTGACTAGATATTTTTTAAGACGCTTCTATACAGCTTAAAGTGAGATTTAAAGGCTTAACTAGGTTAATTAGGTTAACTAGGCAGGTTAGGGTAATTAGGCAAGTTATTGTATAGCGATGGTTTGTTCTGTAAACTATCGAATAAAATAGCTTAAAAGGACTAATAATTTTGACCTTAAAATTGTGTTTAAAAAATGCAAAGCTGCTTTTATTCTTGCGGAACTAAAACAAATAAGACTTTCTCCAGAAGAAAAAATATTATCAGACATACTGTGAAAATTTCCTTGCTCTGTTAAACATCATTTGGAAAATATAAAAAAAGCAAAAAAAACAAAGGGGGCAAATAATTCTGACTTTAACTGTATATCCCATTTAACACTTCCTCGCACAATAAAAACCCATTTTTTATGCATTATAATATTATAATTATAAAGGGGATGCCTTGTTTGATCACGGCTCTAAAACCCCCTGCTTTAATCCCACCGTGCCGAGTGTGTTAACCTGCTTATGATTTAACTTGAGTTCATGTCCACACATCACTGATTTATGAACTGTGAAAAGAGATACGACGCTCAAGGATTCCTTTGATCTGGAAGCTCTTTCTCATAAAAGCAGAGATTGTGTTTGTTCTTATCTGGACAGTGATGAAATCCACAACCGCATCTGTACAGTAGCGGTCAGGACTCCATCAGCTTCACTCCGCTCTTACTTTCTCCAGCACAACAATCACGTTTGACACTTTTGCTTGATTTTCAATGCTGGTCTTGTTCACATCCAGTTGAAGTCAAAATTATTATCCCTCCTGAATTATTTGCCCCCCTGTATATTTGTTTACCCGATTTCTGTTTAACGGAGAGAAGATTTTTTCAACACATTTCTATTAGTTTTAATAACTCATCTCTAATAACTGATTTATTTTATGTTTGCCATGATGACAGTAAATAATATTTGACTAGATATTTCTCAAGACACTAGTATTCAGCTTAAAGTGACATTTAAAGGCTAAACTAGGTGAATTAGGGTAATTAGGCAAGTCATTGGCTGTTTCTCAATTCCAAGAACGCAGAGAACGCATTTGCTTTCTTTTGGACACTGGTCTTGCCAGGTGTCCTTGGAAGAATGAACTCCGACCGCGAGGACAGAGAACGTGTGACTTCTGGGACTTCTAGAGCAAGTTTTTTTTTTTTTTTTTTCCTCTCCGCTGTCGCCACTGCCTCGCATGGTTCAGGATTGGTAGAGCTACGCATCGATGAATTTGCTCTTCAGTGTTTGAACTCTCAGTAATGATTAAATCACACTGAACTGAGCTAAACTGAACTGAACTTAAACACTAAAACCTGAACCACACTGTTCCAGTTACTATGACCATTTATGTGAAGCTGCTTTGACACAATCTACCTTGTAAAAGCGCTATACAAATAAAGCTGAATTGAATTGAATTGAAGTTCGGTGCTCACGTCTGCATCGTGCGTCTTTGATATCTAGATCACATCCGGGAAGTCTCACGCCTTGCTCTGTTCAGCAAGACCGCTGAAGAACGCATATTGAGAAACAGCAATTGGTATAATGATGGTTTGTTCTGCAGACAATCGAAAGAAAATATTGCTTAAGGGGGCTAATAATATTGACCCTAAAATAGTAAAAGAATAAAAACAGCTTTTATTCTAGCCGAAATAAAACAAATAAGACTTTTTCCAAAAGACAAAATATTTTAGGAAATACTGTGATGAAATTCCTTGTTCTGTTAAACATTGTTTGAGAAATGTTTGAAAAAGAAAAAAAAAATTCACAGAAGGGCGAATCATTTGGACGAATATACATATATACACACACACACATACACACACACACATATATATATATATATATATATATATATATATATATATATATATATATATATATATATACACACACACACACACACACACACACACACATATACACACACACACAGGGTGGGCCATTTATATGGATACACCTTAATAAAATGGGAATGGTTGGGGATATTAACGTCCTGTTTGTGGCACATTTGTATATGTGAGGGGGCAAACTTTTCAAGAAGGGTGATGACCATGGTGGCCTTTTTGAAGTCGGCCATCTTGGATCCAACTTTTGTTTTTTCAATAGGAAGTGGGTCATTTGACATCAAACTTATAGGGAATTTCAATAGAAAAACAACGGTGTGCTTGGTTTTAACGTAACTTTATTCTTTATTATTTACAAGTTTCTGACCACTTATAAAATGTGTTGTGCTGCCCATTGTGTTGGATTGTCAATGCAACCCTCTTCTCCCACTCTTCACACGCAGTTAGCAACACCGCAGGAGAAATGCCAGCACAGGCTTCCAGTATCCATAGTATTAGGTGCTGCACATCTTGTACCTTCAAACTTTGGCTTATTCCCTTATTTATTAGAGGTCTCCACAGTGGAATGAACCACCAACTATTTTGGCATATGTTTTATGCAGCGGATGCCCTTCCATCCACAACCTAGAACTGGAAAACATCCATACACTCTTGCATTCACACACACTCATACACTACAGCCAACTTAGTTCCTCCAAATCACCTAAAGCACATGTCTGTGGATTGTACGGGAAACTGAAGCACTCGGAGGAAACCCACGCGAACATGAGGAGAACATGCAAAGTCCACACAGAAATGCCAACTGACCCAGCCGGGGCTCAAACCAGCGACCAAGTGGAAACAAGCGGAACAGTCGAGGAAATATTCTAAAGAGACACATACAATACTGTACAGTTTATTCGATGTGTTTCTGCACAGATTTTTAATGCAGTTTTTGTCCGTTTTGTATTTCCAAACAGTGCTTGAGGTTCTCAAAGGCGACACATGCAGACCTGAGTGCACATGGGAGTACTGCAAGGCAAACCCCAATGATATCTGTTCAGCAAGGTGACATTTACTTCAGCTTTTTCTACTTTTTCTACTCATGGGAAACATGGACTTCAACTGTATATAAATAATTTAATTTCATACACATAATTCTGAAGAGAATATTTAAAATTTTACATTTACCTCCAGGGTGTGAACTACCGGGGAGCTCGACTCCCCTGAAAACATTCATTCATTCATTTTCTTGTCGGCTTAGTCCCTTTATTAATCCGGGGTCGCCACAGCGGAATGAACCGCCAACTTATCCAGCAAATTTTTTTACAAAGCGGATGACCTTCCAGCTGCAACCCATCACTGGGAAACATACACACACATACACTCATACGCTACGGACAATTTAGCCTACTGACTAAGGACTGAGGGGGAAACCGGAGCACCCGGAGGAAACCCACGCGAAGAGAACATGCAAACTCCACACAGAAACGGCAACTGAGCCGAGGTTCGAACCAACGACCTTCTTGCTGTAAGATGACAGCACTACCCTCCCCCTGAAAACATGTTTTGTAAAATTTTGGGGCTCACAAAAAATATTTACAATGTGTTATTTCGACGTGCGGTTTCAGTATTGTGTAATGGGATCATGGATTATTACAGTGGAAACTGAATTATTAACCCACCTGAAGGTTCACTGCACATCTTTTGTAAAAACTGATGGTGGTTCATGGCAAATTCTAATTAAAATTGCATATATTATTAAAGAACATTCATTCATTCATTTTCCTTTGGCTTAATCCATTATTTATCAGATGTCGCCACTGCGAAATGAACCACCAACTCATTCATTCATTTTCTTTTCGGCTTAGTCTCTTTATTAATCTGGGGTCGCCACAGCGGAATGAACTGCCAACTCATTCATTCATTTTCTTTTCGGCTTAGTCTCTTTATTAATCTGGGGTCGCCACAGCGGAATGAACTGCCAACTCATTCATTCATTTTCTTTTCGGCTTAGTCTCTTTATTAATCTGGGGTCGCCACAGCGGAATGAACCGCCAACTCATTCATTCATTTTCTTTAGAGCTTAGTCTCTTTATTAATCTGGGGTCGCCACAGCGGAATGAACCGCCAACTTATCCAGCATATGTTTTACCCAGCAGGTTCCAGCTGCAACCCATC